AGCATCCTGGGGTAGTGTAGATTCTAAATTGATCAAATCATGACCCCCGGGGATAGGGCGGGGCCACAATAGGGAATCCAAGTTTTACATAGAAATATATAGGAAAAATCTTTAAAAATCTTCTTCTCAAGAACCACTAAGCCAGAAAAGCTGAAACTTATGTGGAAGCATCCTGGGGTAGTGTAGATTCTAAATTGTTAAAATCATGACCCCCGGGGATAGGGCGGGGCCACAATAGGGAATACAAGTTTTGCATTGAAATATATAGGAAAAATCTTTAAAAATCTTCTTCTCAAGAACCACTGAGCCAGAAAAGCTGAAACGTAAGTGGAAGCATCCTGGGATAGTGTAGATTCTAAATTGTTCAAATCAGGATCCCCGGGGGTAGGGCGGGGCCACAATAGGGAATACAAGTTTTGCATTGAAATATATAGGAAAAATCTTTAAAAATCTTCTTCTCAAGAACCACAGAGCCAGAATAGCTGAAACTTAAGTGGAAGCATCCTGGGATAGTGTAGATTCTAAATTGTTCAAATCAGGACCCCCGGGGGTAGGGCGGGGCCACAATAGGGAATACAAGTTTTGCATTGAAATATATAGGAAAAATCTTTAAAAATCTTCTTCTCAAGAACCACAGAGCCAGAAAAGCCGAAACTTATGTGGAAGCATCCTGGGGTAGTGTAGATTTTAAATTGTTCAAATCATGACCCCCGGGGGTAGGACGGGGCCACAATAGGGAATCCAATTTTTACATTGAAGTATATAGGAAAAATCTTTAAAAATCTTCTTCTCAAGAACCACTGAGCCAGAAAAGCTGAAACTTATGTGGAAGCATCCTGGGATAGTGTAGATTCTAAATTGTTCAAATCATGACCCCCGGGGGTAGGGCAGGGCCACAATAGGGAATATAAGTTTTGCATTGAAATATATAGGAAAAATCTTTAAAAATCTTCTTCTCAAGAACCACTGGGCCAGAAAAGCTGAAACTTATGTGGAAGCATCCTGGGATAGTGTAGATTCTAAATTGTTCAAATCAGGACCTCCGGGGGTAGGGCAGGGCCACAATAGGGAATACAAGTTTTGCATTGAAATATATAGGAAAAATCTTTAAAAATCTTCTTCTCAAGAACCACTGGGCCAGAAAAGCTGAAACTTATGTGGAAGCATCCTGGGATAGTGTAGATTCTAAATTGTTAAAATCATGACCCCCGGAGATAGGGCGGGGCCACAATAGGGAATACAAGTTTTACATAGAAATATATAGGAAAAATCTTTAAAAATCTTCTTCTCAAGAACCACTGGGCCAGAAAAGCTGAAACTTATGTGGAAGCATCCTGGGATAGTGTAGATTCTAAATTGTTCAAATCATGACCCGGGGGTAGGGCGGGGCCACAATAGGGAAACATTGAAATATATAGGAAAAATCTTTAAAAATCTTCTCAAGAACCACTGGACCAGAAAAACTGAAACTTATGTGGAAGCATCCTGGGGTAGTGTAGATTCTAAATTGTTAAAATCATGACCCCCGGGGGTAGGGCGGGGCCACAATAGGTATTACAAGGGGAGAAGTCTGGTAATGAACAGCATGGCCAAAGTTACTCAGGTGAGCGATGTGGCCCATGGGCCTCTTGTTATATTAGTATTCTTGTTTATTATATAGCATATATATTAATTTGCCTATATTTCATTTAATAACCACTCCAATACGTATGCTTGACGAGAACGTGTATTGCGTGAGAGTGCAGTCAGTTAAAACTTTTAAATATAGTCTAATGTTATATTGCTTAAATTACAGCTTTAATATTTGCATTTTTATCGTAATTCAGATTATTATTTTCATAGTCTTAAATGAGAGAACGACAGAGTGAGCAGGATTAAATAATCTCGTTAAATTTTCATAACACCTTTATTTTAGTAATGGAGTAAAATTATTTACACAGAATATAAATTATAAATCCTAATATATTTATTATACAGGGAAACATGCAATTATTCATCGCCTTGAAGTATTTTACGTTTTGACCTTTACACCTCATGTGAGGTAAGGGTATATGTGTATTTATTATTTGCATGAAATTGAGTTTCATGTTATTTTCTCTGTTTATACATTTATTTCAGTTCTGGTTACTGAAACTTTATATTCGTTGATTTTTTTGGTTTATAATTCATAATTTCTAAATCGGAAGTATGTAATGATTTCTTTTCATATTTTGTAAGAGTAATATTTCCATATGGTAATATCAGTAATTTATTATTATTTTCTGGATAAAGTAATTAATTATAAAGATTATGTGAAATGAAAGTTCAGTGTAATATATTACGACCAGAAATAAAATTTTAAATTGACTTGTTAATATTTGTTTATGCCATGCATTGATTTCAATATTTTTTGTTACAGGGTTTATTTATGTTGAATATGTAAAGAAATAAATCCTCCAAAAGAACCCAAGAAATCCTTGTTTATTGGGGGAAACAGGGGTTACACCATCATATTTGACCTTTTGACCTTGATCTTGGAGTTTTACAAAAATTTTTCAAACTTTAACCTTAGCCATAACTTTTGAACGGTAAGTACTATGGCTTTCATTCTTCACATGTGTAATCCTTTTGACAAGACCTTCCTTTAGATACCAACAACTTTGACCTTTGACCTTGGAGTTTGACGTATTTTTGAAAACCTTGAACATTGGCTATAACTTTTGAACGGTTGATGCTAGGGCTTTCATACTTCACATGTGTAATCCTTGTGATAAGCCCTTCCTTTGGATACCAACAACTTTGACCCTTTAACCTTGACCTTGGAGTTTGATCTCCTTTTGGAAAACTTTATCCTTGGCCATAACTTTTGAACAATTGCTGCTAGGGCTTTCATTCTTCACATGTATAATCCTTGTGACAAGCCCTTCCTTTACATACCAACAATTATAGCCCATTTACCTTGACCTTGGAGTTTGAACTACTTTCGGAAAACTTTAACCTTGGCCTTTTCTTTTGAACAGTTGGTTCTAGGGCTTTCATACTTCACATATGAAGTCCTTGTGACAAGACCTGACTTAGGATACCAACAACTTTTACCCTTTCACCGGGACTTTGGAGTATGACCTACTTTTAAAAAAAATTAACCTTGGCCATATCTTTTGAACGATTGGTGTTAGGGCTTTCATATTTCACATGTGTATTTCTTGTGAGAAGGCCTTTCCTTGGCATTATTTATTTTGATCCTGACCTTGATGTTTGACTTACTTTTGAAAAACTTTAACCTTTTCCATATCTTTTCAATGGTTGCTGCTAGAGCTTTCATATTTCACACGCGGGTATGTTAAGGCTACACCCAGAGATATCCTACTTGCCTTCACAATATGACGTCATAGTAAGCTGTATGACGTGAACTATAGAAATAATGATTTCTTAGTATCTATATTTAAAGTTTAATTCCAGGTCCAAGAAAAGAATGGAATCATTCAAAACATAACATAAACTAAATCTTGTCGTTTTTGGGTGGTATAAATAGCTAATTATTTAGCACGGGGGTTAAATACCAAACCCATGACGTCATAACTATTGATCAAATATTTGCCGAGTGAAATGAGAATTCATGTAAACAAATATATGAAATGGGAGTTTTAAGGCATATACCATGAATGTTATGTGTGATTCATAAGGAATTAAAGATTAAGAATCAGGTACGCTGATATATTCTTATCATGTTTTCTTATAATGAACATAGTCAGTGCTTTGAAATCCCGATCAGCCGTTCCTCTGTCGTTCTATAACAACAAAGATGCAAAAGTTCAACACTACGCCGCATACTTTGAAATATAATTTTTGTTTGTATCGAAAGCTTGTATTCTATAGTACTTGGAAATTGCTGCTAGAATCGTGTGGTTAACATGAATTGATAAAAATTCCTTGATCGTATGTATAAAATGTAAAAATTTTGGTAAGGTTTCATGCGAAACTTTGGAATATTTTTTTCTGTGTCAGGAGAGTAGGATTCTAGCAGCACTTTTCATGGCCCAGTGATGTTTTTACATAATTATTTTCACTAAAAGAAATGAATTATCTCCGGGGTAGTGTTGAACTTTTCACTTTTTCATCAAGGCAATTTTCCTATTTATAGACGTCACGTGATGACGTCGTAGTGGAGTCCTTCTTTTAGCCTAAGACTCAATGACGTCTATACAATGGATAATAATAGTAAATGTTTTATCTATGGTTTTTCCGATTTATCAATGTTACATTCTACGAAAAAAGTCTTAATTCGCCGAAATATGATCTGGGTACTGCCTTAACATACCTGCGCAGGTATATTCCTCTTTACAAGACCTTACTTTGGGTACTAACATATTTGATTTGCATTTGAGAAAGTTTAGCCTTCGCTATAAGTTGCCATACGGGGGCATCAGTGTTTCACAAACACATCTTGTTTTTCTCAGTTTGCATACAACACTGTGCATTGTTTAAATAATGAAACCTTAATATTTTTTTAACTGTGTTTATATGTGAACAAAAAAATCTAATTGCCAAAAGATAACGGCCTAGAAGGAATTTAGGTCGTTTTCTTTTTGCAATTTGATTTCTTGTTTTCATATTGCTCTAGCATATTACTGAAATTTTAAATGATACCAAAATACCAAAAGGTGAGGCTAATTCGCCAGTAATTTAGTGACAGAAATCTCATCAGTATCTAGTTCCCACTTCCATACAGGTTTGTTTCGGTAACGACTAGGTCAATCATTATAGCACTAAAACCTGCCCTCTCATCGTTTCTATTTTCTAGTGTATGATTCCATTGGTTGAAGTTTCAGAAATGTACATAAAGATATACAGAATATAACGTTTCATGATAGAGCCGTGAAAACATTAGTGTGCCTACAAATCTGCTGAATGTATAAATTAATCTAGCTTGATTAAGGTGTTATCAAACTAAACAAATGACATTTATCAATAGCTTTGATAACATCGTTCAATGATTTTAATCAAATGATGCCGATTTAACTATGGCTGAACAAAAGCATATACTGTGTTTATTGCTTTGGATGTTTATTTTAAAGGTATGTGATTTCAGCACTTCCATATTTTGAAAAGGATGATAATTCTGCTCTTCCTTTTAACAGAAATGGGATACTTAAGATTTTAGTTTTCTGTATAAATTAGAAATATTTTATACAGCCAAACAAATTGAAAATACATTCTGCTGGTAAAAGAAGTGTATCACTTCCACATAAGGTTTACAAAACAAAAGCAATTATGCAATATTGTAATATTCCGTAAAAACTCTGTTTTGTATTTCATTGAACTACAATTCCTCAAGAAAAAGAATGTATAAATCCAAGGGGCTTAGTATGAATACAGTAGTGTTTTCATCTTCTACTTTATCAACAAATCTCAGCATGTAGGCCTAATGAAAAAAACTTGAGTATTTACGTTTTATACTACTCATGATTGTTACAGTTATTTATAATATTACTCTACATTTCAAGGTCGCATCTGGGAAGATAACTTTCTTCATTCACATAGATGAAGTAAAGAGTCCAGGTAATAAACTTCACGGAGGAAGATGTTGTCAGGGTGTGGCGGGTACCCAGTGTAACATGTTGTGTAAACCCGTACTTACCGTTTGTCTTAAGTGAGTGATCTTTGACTTTTCCGACTTAAATGACCTCTCGCTGGTAAATAGTTCTTAAGATTTCATTTTAACATTCTCTTTGGTACAGAGACGCTAAGCACTCCTGTGTGACAAGTTTTACCACAACGTTAGACATGGGACAACAAAACGTCATTTATGGTTCTAAAGTCGGGAATACAACCAACCCTCAGTTTTTAGAAGTTGATTCTTGGGTAAACATTCCTTAACTCAAATACATGCATATACATCACCAGAATAACATTTTCTTTATTTATAAAACAGTCAGGTACATTTCATTACTCTTTGTTATCTTATAAACTCAGAAAAAATATTTGGACAAGATCTCAGTGAGAGTGGTAGATATACAAAACTCCTCTACACCAACCATCTACCAAGCAGAATTCGCCGACTACAGTCTTCAAACAGGAAACAACATACTTTCACAACATTGGCGACAGAAAAAATTGACCGCAAGTTTTTTGTCGGATAAAAATTCATTTTCGTAAGTTGTTCCTTATTTATACCAACTAAATAAACACTCCTTACAATCGTACATTGACTTAAACTTTTTTTTTACTTATAATAAAAATTTCATAGAAGTTTATTAATCATGGTATCAACAAATCACTCTTATTTCAGTATCCAGATAACCTACAAGGCCTACTGCTCTGAGGGTTACTATGGATCAGACTGTACAGATCATTGTCCTGGTAATCCACGGAAGTGTGTCGTCAACGGTCATAAATACTGTAAAATGGGTAAGCCGAATATCATACATGTATAAATTAAATTACAAAATTTTACCAAAATCAATAGCATCAAAACCTGCGACTTTTCAATGCTTTATACAACCATACCCCACGATAAATTAAAGTCCAGACTTTTTAACATCATAGACAGCTGCTTTTCAATAAAATTGAATTCATATTTACATACCTTGTCATAGGTCATCTGCAAAATTATTTTCTTAAAAACATTCAGATTGTACACACAAGTACTCTCAAGTTGATATAAGAAGGTACTTGAGTTTCTTTATTGACAATATCTATGTCGTTTTTTGAGACCAAGTCTTCCAAAAATCTGTTGGAATTCCCAACACTAATTGCGTCCCGTTGATTGATTGATTGATTGATTGAATGAAAGATTGGTTGTATGCTGTTTTATGTCCCATTCGAGAATTTTTCACTCATATAGGGAATGTCACCATATACCATTGAAGGGATTCAAATTCAGACCTATACTTAGCACTCAGGGTCATTGAGCAGTGAAGGTTCTTTATCGTGGAAACTTCAATCGTGACACGGGACGTCTATTAAAGGTCTCATCTGAAGACTTGTGATTTTCTCTTCTAGTGCCGAGCACTTGGCGAAGGAACAGTCACTATGTTTACGTCTTAGGTCTGAAGCGGCGCGCTGAACTCCAGTCCTCCCGATCACGAAGCGAACGTTCAACAACTAGGCTACCGTGACCGGTTTTACATTAAAAGAAGGTTTCTTGCTGTGGCCTTCATTTCGACATTAGATTTATCGACGACATCTTATTAATAAATAATATTCATTTTCATTCCTATGTTGAAACGATATTTCCCTTTGAACTTGAGAGAAAAGACACCACAGAGTCTGACACGTCTGTTTCATATATGGATATTTTACAATTATTAAAATACAGTATGATGCAATTAATATTCGTACAAAATGTCGGCGTGTTTACATTCGCAACGAAAGTAGGTCACAATAAAATCGTATGTATTACGTTTCCAAAATAAATAAAATTTAAATTCAAATGTCCTTTCAATCTAATTACACTGAGTAATCTGCGAGGAATAGATCGTCAGAGGCTTCTTACACGGTCTTTTGTGGTCCCAGTCCAGATGTCTTGAATCTCGCGAAAGAGGTCATCCCTACTCCCGATCCTGCCTAATCGCGTCTTAAGTTTCCTTTTTATTAACAGCCACAGGTTTTCAATAATATTTCGATCCGGGCTCTGTGCTGGCCAGATCATGGTAGTAATATTATTTCTGTGATTGAACTGTTGAGTACTTCTAGCCCGATGCACCGGAGAATTGTTGTGCTGAAATACGTAATTTTCGGTAGGGAAATGACGGACTTTAACTGGCCACAAGTTCTCATCAAGGATCTCCTTGTACTTCTCAGCATTAATATTGTCATTTACAGACGTAATAGTTCCCACACCGTCCCATTTTACAAATCCTCAGTCTCAGATCATCACTTCATAATATGGCTTACCCTGAAGTGGTGTCATTAGATCAGACCTCCATCCTTTGTCCCTTTTGCGCCACACATATATCCGGGAATTTTGTACAATCATGATTTTAGACTCATTAGAAAAAATCACTTTATCTAGTAATTATCAACTGTTAATCGTCTCTGCACCATAACAATCGTATTTTTTTCCCGGTTACCCTCTTACAACAACTGTTTTCCTAGACACACGTCTCGAGTACCCATGTTTGAGAAGATGGAGTTGTACCGTACGTTTAGCGACATGGTTATCAACATTTTCCTTAAATTTGTTTGTAGTATCCAGCAAACTGTCCCTTCTATTTGTCTTCACCAACCTTTCTAAGCCGCGGTAATCATGATCTGTTACTTACGCAGGCCGGCCACTTCGTCTGTTGTTTTCCACCAGACAACGCTGTTCAATACGTTTTCTCATACTTAAAACGGTAGTAATAGGAATTCCTAATAATTCTGACACTTTTCGAATGGACTTTCCTTGTTCTAAGGATCTCCACACAGCTTTTTTAACATCATTAGACAACTCCTTCTCCTTTCTACCCATTCTCTTTTAGACTTGTATATTTTCCGAAAATACAGCAGACGACAACAAAATCGCATGAACTTTGGATGTCAAATGACTTTAGTATGTTAAGAATAACAACTGAAATTCCATAGCTATTTTTAGCCAAATTTTAAAACTGAGAAGTTTTCGTTGCGAATGTGAACACGCCGCCATTTTGTACTAATATTTATAGCATCATACTGTACATTAATTGCAGACAAACAACAAAATTTTATGATAAACGTGGTGACTTCGACCTTTTTATCATCAACGTCCCTTATTTACGTAGCAATATTCCAAATATTAACATCGAGTTTATGTCTCCCAGTTGATTCTCCCAAGGGCATGTACTACGTACGAACGATTTTTAAAATTACATACTAACGATTTCTAAAACGAGGCAGCAAGCTTTTGACAAATTTGTTGATGATAAAAGAATACCAACAGCCTCTTTTAAAGTCAACATTTCGCAACAATTCTATGGTCGATATGATGACCTTGTTAAGGAACACAATCTATCGTTAAGTCTTGTGTTGACTGACTTTTTTCATACAAATTGTTAAGCAATTATTTTTTACATTGAATTGTCTGGAGCACACGTGTGACTTGTCAATATGGCATGCTTACTCCCCCCCCCCCCCCCCATTGCATCTGATCCCACTTCTGATGTTTAAGAGGTCGGGTTTTCTCTTCTCCTAATATGTATTGTTCAAATGGACTTTTGAGCTTGATTACTGTTCTTTATCTTCATATCTCAAAACTAACTTACAGTAGTCCAACCCACACTTTGCAAAAAGTAATAAAGAATTCTCCCTTTGTGGGATCAACGACAGGTCACAAGGAAAAGAAACAATGTTCTTTTCTTTACACTAACAAATATTTGGGTGCTCTCCGATAACTTCACTGTGTTTGAAATTGTATCCTTCAATTTTTGCGTAGTCCCATCATGGGGCAATCAACGTACAAGATCAGGGATTTTCGTATAGTTAAATAACAAAGTTACAAACATGAAAGTTACAAAGGCCACTGTAAAAATTCTATGCTTTTCCCCCAAAGATAGCAGTCAAGGAACATTACTATTGAAAAGTATGGATTTTACTATGCTGTCAAATCGTAACCATTATCACTAAAATATAGTTAGTATTGAATTCCGAGCAACAATACAGCAGTGTAAAATTGCAAGAAAGTTTTCAAAATTTCAGGCTACTAAAAGAGAGCGTTTTAGAAACTATAATCAGCAATTTGATTTTCTGTACTGAAAGTTCGCAAATATTTTCATAAGTTATTTTATGCACTGACATATGGACAACTAAAAAGATTTCAATGAGAGATGTTAAATAGAATGCTCATTGTTGTAAAAACTTCTGTTTTGACAATTGTGTTGAGCAGGGTTCTCCTCAATTCAGATGTAATATAAATAGATATAAATTAATGAAGAGAAGTAATGCCTTCGGGTACATGTCGAATTTCGGTGTTTGATTGTATAATGTAGGATGGGATGGAATTGATTGTGATGAAGATATCAATGAATGTACTTCTCAAAAGTTTTGTGGCTATGGTACCTGTACAAACACAGCTGGTAGTTTTCATTGTGCCTGTCCTTCTTCTGTTTACGGTCTGAAATGTCAGCTGGATGAGGACGAATGTCTTTTACAACCATGTAATGGAGGGGATTGTGTCAATAGCAAGGGAAGTTATACGTGTAATTGTAAAAGAGGAACAACTGGCAAAAACTGCGAATCGCTGACTTCTCACCAATGTAATGATAATACGTGTAATACACATGGGCATTGTCATGTTCAGCATAGACAGGCTGTGTGTACGTGCAACAATAAATATACCGGTCCTGACTGTTCCATAAGAAATCTTTGTGCTCACAATCAGTGTCAGAATGGTGCTACATGTGTGATAACAGGGACAAATTACACGTGTCATTGTGCCAATGGTTTCATAGGAGAACTATGTGATAAAGTTGATTATTGTGCAACGGATCCCTGCAAAAATTCAGGATCTTGTACTAATACAGCTTCTGGATATAATTGTTCATGCACTGGTCTTTTCATAGGACAGAATTGTAGCACGTACGATTACTGTTTTGGACAGTACTGTAATAACCGAGGACAATGTCAAAATAGACCGAACGGTTACTCTTGTCAGTGTAGGTCGCAGTATCTTGGTAAAAACTGTGAACAGAACAATCATTGTCATGGTAATCCATGTAAAAACGGGAGATGCACAAATTCAAACACTAGCTATACCTGTACTTGCAATAGAGGATTTACCGGAAAAAATTGTGACAAAGTTGATTACTGTAACGGAAAGAACTGTAACGGACATGGACAATGTCAGAACGGTCAGCATAGTTACACTTGTAACTGTAATCCTGGTTTCCTAGGAAGTAACTGTGAATACGACTATTGCTTCAATAATACCTGTAAAAATGGTGCTACTTGTCACAGTGGAAATTCTAATTATACATGTTCATGTAAACCTGAATATAAAGGAACTCTTTGTGAAACTCGTAATTACTGTCACGGACAGACATGTAGCGGTCATGGGACATGTCATAATGGACAAAGTAGATACACTTGTGCCTGCCAAACTAATTATCGAGGAAATAATTGTGAACTGAGAGATTACTGTCATAGTAATCCATGCAGACATGGAAATTGTACCAACACAAACACAGGATATAAATGTTCTTGTAACGGAGGGTATTTAGGAAAGAATTGTGATGTAATAGATTACTGTTATAACAAGCACTGCTCTAACCATGGTACCTGTCACATCAGGGGGAATACTTACAATTGTACTTGTAATAATGGATTTATAGGAAAAGACTGTCAGACCCGGGATTATTGTTATAACAAGCACTGTTCTAACCACGGTACTTGTCAAAACAGACATGATTCTTACACGTGTCAATGTAGGGCTGGATACCACGGTAAAGACTGTGACCAAACTTATTGTTCTCATCATCAGTGTCAGAATGGAGCCTCTTGTGTTAATGAAGTCTCTAACTATACGTGTAAATGTGTCCCAGGTTTTGAAGGTTTCTTCTGCCAAACACGTGATTATTGTTACCATCAGACCTGTAGTGGACATGGCACCTGCCATAATGGTCAACATAAGTACACTTGTACTTGTAATCCTGGTTATTTAGGAAGTGATTGTCAACATGATTATTGTTTCAGTAACCCATGTAAAAATCATGGTACCTGTAAAAACGGAAAAACAAACTATACATGCTCTTGTCCTGTTGATTATATGGGACGTCATTGTGAAATACGTAATTATTGCCATGGACACAGCTGCAGTGGACATGGAACTTGTCAAAATGAGGGACATGGTTACACTTGTCAATGTAGGTCGCAGTACCTTGGTAAGAACTGTGAACTGAATAATTATTGTCATAGTAACCCATGTATACACGGGAACTGTTCAAATTTAAGCACTAGATATAATTGTTCTTGCCTGAGAGGATTTACCGGTACAAAGTGTGATAAAGTGGATTACTGTCACGGAAAGAACTGTAATGGACATGGACAATGTCAGAACGGTCAGCATAATTACACTTGTAATTGTTATCCTGGTTTCCTAGGAAGGAACTGTGAATACGATTATTGCTTTAATAATACCTGTCAAAATGGTGCTACTTGTCAAAGTGGAAATTCTAATTATACATGTTTGTGTAAATCTGGTTACAAAGGAACTCATTGTGAAACACGCAATTATTGCCAAGGACAGAGATGTAGCGGACACGGGACGTGTAATAACGGACCAAGTAGATATACTTGTGACTGTCAATCTGATTACCGCGGAAATGATTGTGAACTAAAAAATTACTGTCATAGTAATCCATGTATACATGGACAATGCACCAACACAAACACGGGATATACCTGCTCTTGTAATGGTGGGTATCTAGGGACAAACTGTGATGCAATAGATTACTGTTATAATAAACACTGTTCAAATCATGGTACCTGCCAGAACGGACGAAATAATTACACCTGCACTTGTAACCGTGGATTTCTGGGAAAAGACTGTGAAACGCAGAATTATTGTTATAATAATCTTTGTTCTAACCACGGTACTTGTCAAAACGGACAGAACTCCTACACGTGTCAATGTAGACATGGGTACGTAGGTAAAAACTGTGAACAAACTTATTGTTCTCATCATCAATGTCGGAATGGAGCATCTTGTGTTAATGGACACTCTAACTATACGTGTAAATGTGCTCCAGGGTATATAGGATCCTACTGCCAAACACGTGATTATTGTTACCATCAGAACTGTAGTGGACATGGAACCTGCCATAACGGTCAACATAACTACACTTGTACTTGTAATCCTGGTTATTTAGGAAGTGATTGTCAACATGATTATTGTTTCAGTAACCCATGTAAAAATCATGGTACCTGTAAAAACGGAAAAACAAACTATACATGCTCTTGTCCTGTTGATTATATGGGACGTCATTGTGAAATACGTAATTATTGCCATGGACAAATCTGCAGTGGACATGGAACTTGTCAAAATGGAGAACATGGTTACTCTTGTCAATGTAGGTCGCAGTACCTTGGTAAGAACTGTGAACTGAATAATTATTGTCATAGTAACCCATGTATACACGGGAACTGTTCAAATTTAAGCACTAGATATAATTGTTCTTGCCTGAGAGGATTTACCGGTACAAAGTGTGATAAAGTGGATTACTGTCACGGAAAGAACTGTAATGGATATGGACAATGTCAGAACGGTCAGCATAATTACACTTGTAACTGTAATCCTGGTTATCTAGGAAGTAACTGTGAATACGATTATTGCTTCAATAATACCTGTCAAAATGGTGCTACTTGTCAAAGTGGAAATTCTAATTATGCATGTTTGTGTAAATCTGGTTACAAAGGAACTCATTGTGAAACACGCAATTATTGCCAAGGACAGAGATGTAGTGGACATGGGACGTGTAATAACGGACCAAGTAAATATACTTGTGTCTGTCAACCTGATTACCGCGGAAATGATTGTGAACTAAAAAATTACTGTCATAGTAATCCATGTATACATGGACAATGCACCAACACAAACACGGGATATACCTGCTCTTGTAATGGTGGGTATCTAGGGACAAACTGTGATGCAATAGATTACTGTTATAATAAACACTGTTCAAATCATGGTACCTGCCAGAACGGACGAAATAATTACACCTGCACTTGTAACCGTGGATTTCTGGGAAAAGACTGTGAAACGCAGAATTATTGTTATAATAATCTTTGTTCTAACCACGGTACTTGTCAAAACGGACAGAACTCCTACACGTGTCAATGTAAGGCTGGGTACCTAGGTAAAAACTGTGAACAAACTTACTGTTCTCATCATCAATGTCGGAATGGAGCGTCTTGTGTTAATGGACACTCTAACTATACGTGTAAATGTGCTCCAGGGTATATAGGATCCTACTGCCAAACACGCGATTTCTGTTACAGTCAGAACTGCAGTGGACATGGAACATGTCATAATGGACATGTGGCATGTTTACGTAATGAAACCTGCTTCAACAACAACCAAAACTATTCATGCGTATGTCATAATGGATATAAAGGCTCCAGTTGTGAAGTTGTTGATCATTGTTTCCTCAGCAACTGTACCAATGGAGGAACGTGTATTAATAAAGCTGAGGGATACTCCTGTTCCTGTTCCTCCGCCTACACCGGTACTTATTGCGAAGAAAGGAATTTCTGTGACACACAAAGATGTAATAATAAGGGAACTTGTCAAAACTTAGACGATAATTATAAATGTAACTGTAATACAGAATATTACGGTCGGAATTGCAAGAAGAGAAACTATTGCCACAAACACTTGTGCAATAGCCGTGGAAATTGTAGCAATCTCGACAATGGCTATGTATGTCATTGTGAACTTGGATTCAATGGAACTGATTGCGAGGAAATAGACTACTGTTTCCATAAACCTTGCCATAATGGAGGAGTTTGTCATCAGCAAGAAGATGGTTACATTTGCCATTGTGCGCCAGGTTTCCAAGGAAGAAACTGTACAGACAGAAATCCATGTATGGATCATACGTGCAGTGGCCATGGCAGCTGTACTATAAATAATGGTGGTTACAGATGTAAATGTTATGGTGGATACTCCGGAAAAGATTGTCAAGATCAGGATTTTTGTTACCAGATAGATTGCAATGGAAATGGCACCTGTCATAATACATCAAATGACTTTGATTGTAAATGTAATCCTGGTTTTAAGGGACGTAAATGTGAAGTTAAAGACTATTGTTACAACTATAACTGCAACAATGGAACATGCTTTAGTGGTATTCATCAAGCCGAATGCACATGTCATGATGGGTATTCTGGTGAACGCTGCAATATTTTTGACAATTGCAGTAGAAATCCTTGCCAAAATGGAGGGACATGTCATAATGGAACTTCCAATTACTACTGCGTTTGTAAAAATGGCTTTACTGGGGAGAAATGTGAAACTCGGGATCTTTGCTTTCTTCAAAATTGTAATAATAGAGGCACATGCAAGATGATTACAAGTAATAAATATTTCTGTGAATGTCTTGGCAATTTTACAGGGAGATTTTGTGAAATTTCTCTTACATCGTTGCCACCTACTTTATCATCACACACAACAATTATAAATGTAAGTTCTACACACACTTACACAACTGGTCATAGTTCAAGCACGACAGTTAACATATCAGAGTCATCAGCAAGCAAGCAGATTTTTATCCCGTCTTCAAAACCAACATTAATGTCATCTGCAAACTTTCCGACTGTTATCACGACGGCACACACTTTTTCGTCCTCTAAAAAAGTCACCACCAGTGCGTCCACTCCAACCCCAGTATTTTCCACAGAGAACAAAGAAACTAATCTTCCAACATCCACAGCAACTACAAACTCTCCTTCTGTTATCATCACGGAACACAGAATTTCAACCTCTGAAAATTTCACTACCAGAGCATCCACTCCAACTCCTGTACCTTCCACTGAAAGCAAGGAAACGAATAGAGCAACACCCTCAGTCATACATGGAAACATGCCAAGTTCACAACTTCCATTTGAAAATGTCACTATTACCACCTCCACTTCCTCGAAAACAACAGCGAAAATGGCTCGTACAGAAACAACAATTTCTGAACCAACAGGTATAAAGACGATCAATTTACTATTCATCAAGTAAGATTAGACAGATTAATTGAATACTTAAAAGGCTTTCACCAGAAAAGCTTAGATATAAAAAAAAAATGTGACGTTATAAGGCATTGTTTTTATTGACATTTTAGAAGTGATATTCGAAGGAAATGTGAAATTTGCTATGGAATGGCACCCCGCTCTACAAAACAAATCAAGTGATGAATACAAGAATATCTCAAATCAGTTCCTAATGCTGGTATGTAAAATTTCATTTATATTTTGTATTTTTTTTTATTAGGCACATTGTTATTCTTTTGAAAGAATATTTAAAATATGTTTCTTTACATTTCTTTCCAGATGAATTCAGTGTATAAAAATGGAGAATTAAAGAGTGTTTACATCAGAACAGAAATCATCAGTATCACGTATGTTTATTTTTGCTCTACGAAAAAGTAATTATGCCAGTACATTTTATTAATTCAATCTATGCAATATAAGAATATATAATTATTTATGAATATAAATTTGAAATCTCATTTTGTTTCAGTCGTGGTAGTATAGACATTAAATACAATCAGATATTTAAGGATCCAGAGGTCGATCTAAGTAACGGAACAGTGATAGAAGTAACCAACACCACCGTCATCGACGTGTTCGAAAAAGGGATCGAGGAACTGGAAAAACATTCATCCAATCATACCCAGGCTCTTGCACAAACATTTAATATCACACACGCGAAGATAGTACTCCGAGGTTTCTAGATGTTCATAATTAATGTAAAAAAAAGTGAAAAAATGAAAATGATACCGATTATATGCAATCGGATGATTTTTACGAATGTTTTAATTAGTATCCATTTATTTCCTATTATTATTGTTGTTTGGGACAATGATAATGTTGATGATGTTGTTGATGATTTCATTTAGAATTACCACAGCCAAAACGATCAACCCCCTCTCCAACAAAACGATCATCCATCCCTCAGTCAACAGGTATGTGCATCACCTTAAATATCGATAGTATATAAAATTAAGTAATACTAAAACTCTATGAGAAGTTTGATAGCTACATGTTTTATATTTTAAGCTAAAACGACGAAACCTATAGAAGTAACAGAAACACCGGAAAACACCGAGGTAAGAAAGGAAACACCCGAAAACACTAAGTAAGAACAGAAACACCCGAAAACACTGAAGTAAGAACAGAAACACCTGAAAACACCGAGGTAAGAGCAGAAACACCCGAAAACACTAAGGTGAGAACAGAAACACCCGAAAACACCGAGGTAAGAACAGAAACACCGGAAAACACCGAGGTGAGAACACCCGAAAACACTAAGGCGAGAACAGAAACACCCGAAAACAGTAAGGTAAGAAAAGAAACACCTGAAAACACTAAGGAGAGAACAGAAGCACCCGAAAACACCGAGGTAAAAACAGAAACACCCGAAAACACTAAGGACAGAACAGAAACACACAAAAAACCAAGGTAAGAAAAGAAACACCCTTAAACACTAAACTAAGAACCATCGTAAGAAAAGAAACACCCAAAAACACTAAATTAAATACAGAAACACCCGAAAACAATAAGATAAGAACAGAAAAAACCCGAAAACACTAATGTAAGAACAGAAACACCTGAAAACACGGAGGTAAGAACAGAAACACCCGAAAACACTGAGGTAAGAACAGAAACACCCGAAAACATTGAGGTAAGAACAGAAACACCCGAAATCACCAGGATAAGAACAGAAACACCCGAAAACACCAAGGTAAGAACAGAAACACCCGAAAACACCAAGGTAAGAACAGAAACGCCCGAAAACAGTAAGATAAGAATATAGTGTTTATAAGGTACAATTTCATTACAATGTTGTCATAGTTTTTATGAAGATAGGGAAAATTTATTAATTCCTATTGAATAACATTATGCCTACCAAATGAACTCCAAATGGGTTTTGAAAGTAGAATATTAAGTGTTACTGTTATAGTGAATATCTGACAGTTCCTGTAAAAATTAATGTGCAATAATCTTGCATTAAGATTTTGCCAGAATATTTTTTTACAAAATATATATTAAAAAAATTACCCAATCAATTCTTGCAATCTTTCAGTTTCATATCAAAATACAGATGTACATGTATTTGATAGAAAGCAAGTAAACTCTCAGGGTTCTAATCAAAACAAAACCGTAGTAATAAGTAAGCAATCAAGTCATACATTCGCGTGATTCGCTAACATAATATTGAATTTCAGATTTCTTACACTTTAAAATGTTGTACTGGTCTTGCAACTGGTAAAGGGATTAATGCCCCTTTTTCTTTGTATATAATGTATTCTTGCCTATTTATCTTCCGCGTGGCTTGTATAATTTGTATTAGATTAGTTGTTCGGTGTTCCTTAATTATTGTCTAAACTATTATTGTCTAATTAATTTATGCAATATTCAAGTTTTAAGCATACATATTATCCCCATGCACACGATCCTCTCTATCGATATATCATTATATAATATAGTCATATATTTTTTTATATTTAATTAAACCGTTGAAACAATTTCCATATACACTGTACATGTATATACCTATAGATGATTCATAAATGCAAGTATGCTGTTAAGCTTAATCAGCTGAAAGTACATTATCATGATTATCGATGTCCTAGATTTTAACTAAGGTCAGTGATAGTGTCCGGTGCATGAACTTCTCAGGAAAGCTTGTTCATAGTACAAATGTTTCTCAGTTATCTGTTTCTTTTATTATAGGTGTTAGTTAGCAATGTCAAAGTAAGGAGTAGTTGCATAAAATTTTCGGCAAGGGTGTTCAAAAACAATTTTCAATATATAACATAACATCTACAAGAAAAATATTTTAACCAAACTGTGATGCTTCATGGAGACACGAAGTTCATTTTACATAAGAATATAACTCTTTTAACAAGCTTAATCAAAATTTGTCTGTCCAAGATATCTCTGCACCACATAAAATAGTCTAGCTGCAGAACTGTAGCGTTATGGTTTTATATTTATACATGTAGTCTTTGACCATAACGCTGCAAATATGGTGTAATTTACGGCGCAAGATTTTCTGCGCACGGTTGGGGATGTATTTCTCCACTATAATCCAGCATTGAACAATCAACTATCTTTCATTCCCTAATTCTAGACATATTCTACTATCACCTGTATATATTTTATTCACCTCCTAACCCTTTATAGTCGTCTCTGCTTGTTTTGAATTTTTTACCTCCGACAAAAAAATCAAAACAATTTAGCGAGTTTATTGGTCTGTAGAGACAATCTTGCGCCATACATTGCACCATATTTGCGGGATTAGTCGGGATCTGTGGCGTTATGGTCAAAGACTAAAATATAAAACCATAACGCTACAGTTCTGCAGCTAAAAATAGTCATTCATGAAGAATATAATGTTACTTTGTTATCACCCACACTAGTGCGTCACGGTGTATGCTTTCACAGTAAACTTAAACGGTAAACTGTATGCTTTTCACAATTACTACAGGTATATATACAACATCGGGAAATTAAATCTCTTGTGATAAAAATAAGGATGCTAACTCTGTTGGATAATTCATTATATTGACACAGTTTGATAAATTGATGATACATACAAGTGTATGTTATGTTTACAATTAGATCTGAGGACGTTTGCAGAGACGTGCGGCTTGTTGATAAATTGATATGATATTGCATGTTATTATCGGTAAAAATCGGACAAGGTCAGGACAGAAATTAAAAAAAAACAACATGTCTAATAGGCCTATACATATACAGTGTACTTCAAATTTAGTCCTATACTTTTCCATGATAGCCTAAAGAATAATAGGAATGTATCCTATTGAATGTTTGATCCTCTGATTATTATGTTTTTCTCTGTTTATTCATTTTATAAGCTGAGACCTGTGTGTAAATAAAGCTTGATATAATTCACTTTTACGGAAAGGGCATATTAAGTTTTCAGAACTTTTGCCCGATCCCAATTGTAAAGTTAAAGACAATAATGTATGTTCAAACTAAAGAATAATAAGGGTAACTAGAAACTCATTGCGAGCAATGAGAGGTCTTCCGTCCGATTTTGAAAATAAAAACGTAAATTCAAGCTGAAAAGGTGATAAAAAAAATTCAGACACTCTGGAGATTTAACCCTGGTTGTCAGCGTGAAAATCCAACGTGCTAACCATTAACCATTCACTTTTTTGCATCACTTCCTGTCACGACCGGAAGTAACGGCGATACAAGATTTCCTCGCGATTCAAATAAACTGATGAATGACTATCAGTTCTGAAAGTTTTAGACTTCAATTGTTCACTGTTGCCGAGCAATACTGTGAGAACAAATTCTAATTCTGAGGACAGGTAAGCACGTGATCGGAAGTGAATTTTATATAAAAAAAAAAAAAAAATCTCTGACGTTTCTTTATACATTTGCAGTATCTACAAAATGCATAAAAACATTTCAAGTACTTTATCGATAAGCAATACTGATGAGAAAGTTAAATATCGAAATAACGTAGTTTATCACCTAAACCGGAAGTTGACGTTTTTGTTTCCGGTGGAATCTAACATATTTCAAAACAGCGAAAGAGATGCAATAAAGTGATGCAAACTTTAATTTAAAAAAGAAAAGTTAAATTTTTTTGATTTTTTTGATCACTTCCTGTGACGACCGGAAGTTACGACGGACGCGTTTAACCAAAATGGTTTTGCCTACTCCTCAAGGTCTGCTACTCATAAAAATTTGGTGTTTTAATCTTTTACCTGGTTTTGAGATCTCGCTCAGACAATTTTTCATTTTAAGGACAGAAAAACACGGGACCGGAAGTGAATTTTTGAAAGATATTTGAGGTTACTCTAGATCTTTGCAGTCTGAATATATTATTCAAAATTCATTTCAAATACATTATCTATAAAGAATATTTATAGGTAAGTAAAATAATCAAATTTTGTAGTTTTTCTCTTATAAGCGGAAGTTGTCGTTTTTGTTTCCGTTCGGACCAACATCTTTCGAATCTGCGAAAAAGATGCAATAAAGTGATGCAATTTTTAAATAAAAAAAGAAAAGTTGAAATTTTCGATTTTTTTATCACTTCCTGTGACGACCGGAAGTGACGGCTGACGGTCTGAACCCAAGTGTTTTTGGCTACATCTTAAGGTCTGTTGCTCATATAAGTTTGGTGTATTAATCTTTTACCGTTTTTGAGGTCTTGTTCAGACAATTTCTCAGTTTGAGGACAGAAAAACACGCGACCGGAAGTGAATTTTTGAAAGATATTTGAGGTTACTCTAGACATTTGCTGTCTGAATAACATATTTAAAATTCATTCCAAATAGTTTATCTACAAAAGATATTAATGGGAAAGAAAAATACTCAAATTATGTAGTTTTTCTCTTATAACCGGAAGTTGACGTTTTTGTTTCCGGTGGGACCAACATATTTCAAAACTACAAAACAGATGCAATAATGTGATGTAAGAATTGATTTAAAAAAGGAAAGTTGAGATTTAACGATTTCTTTGATCACTTCCGTAAGCGACCGGAAGTGCCGACGACGAACGAAAAGGTGCCCTCTCCAATCTAGAAATCATGTTCTATCATCTCTAACAAGTCTCCAGTTAATATCTTAAGCCATTCTTGAGAACACTCAAGGACAAAATTTCATTTTAAAATCAGGAAATTGTCCATAACTTGGCACTGGAACCGAATTTTCCAAAAAACGGAATTTTATATAAAATTCATATAAAGACCTTTTATCTCTGAAAATTTCAAGGAAATTCATTGAATAGTTTTCGAGAAATCGCGTGCACAAAATTTTGTCTAAAAAAAAAAGAATAATAATAACTAGAAACTCATTGCGAGCAATGAGTGGTCTTCCGTCCGATTTTGAAAGTAAAAACGTAAATTCAAGCTGAAAAGGTGATAAAAGAAATTCAGACACTTTGGAGATTTAACCCTGGTTGTCAGGGTGAAAATTCAACGTGCTAACCATTAACCATTCACTTTTTTGCATCACTTCCTGTCACGACCAGAAGTAACGGCGATACAAGATTTCCTCGCGATTCAAATAAACTGATGAATGACTATCAGTTCTGAAAGTTTTAGACTTCAGTCGTTTACTGTTGCCGAGCAATTTCTAATTTTGAGGACAGGTAAACACGCAACCGGAAGTGAATTTTATAAAAAAATCTCTGACGTTTTTCTATACATTTGCAGTATCTACAAAATGCATAAAAACATTTCAAGTACTTTATCGATAAGCAATATTTATGAGAAGGTTAAATATCGAAGTAACGTAGCTTATCACCTAAAACCGGAAGTTGACGTTTTTGTTTCCGGTGGAATCTAACATGTTTCAAAACAGCGAAAGAGATGCAATAAAGTGATGCAAACTTTAATTTAAAAAAGGAAAGTTAAAATTTTTGATTTTTTTGACCACTGCCTGTGACGACCGGAAGTTACGACGGACGCGTTTAACCAAAATGGTTTTGCCTACTCCTCAAGGTCTGCTACTCATAAGAATTTGGTGTTTTAATCTTTTACCTGTTTTTGAGATCTCGCTCAGACAATTTTTCATTTTGAGGACAGAAAAACACGCGACCGGAAGTGAATTTCTGAAAGATATTTAAGTTCACTCTAGACCTTTGCAGTCTGAATAACATATTTAAAATTCATTTCAAATACGTTATCTATAAAGAATATTTATAGGAAAGTAAAATACTCAAATTTTGTAGTTTTTCTCTTATTACCGGAAGTTGTCGTTTTTGTTTCCGGTGGGACCAACATCTTTCAATCTGCGATAAAGATGCAATAAAGTGATGCAATCTTTAAATAAAAAAAGAAAAATTGAAATTTTCGATTTCTTTGATCACTTCCTGTGACGACTGGAAGTGACGGCTGACGCTTTGAACCAAAATGGTTTTTGCTACATCTTAAGGTCTGTTGCTCATATAAGTCTGGTGTCTTAATCTCTTACTGTTTCCGAGATCTTGCTCACACAACTTCTCATTTTGAGGACAGAAAAACACGCGAACGGAAGTGAATTTTTGGAAGATATTTGAGGTTACTCTAGACATTAGCTGTCTGAATAACATGTTTAAAATTCATTCCAAATACTTTATCTACAAAAGATATTAATGGGAAAGAAAAATACTCAAATTATGTAGTTTTTCTCTTATAACCGGAAGTTGACGTTTTTGTTTCCGGTGGGACCAACATATTTCAAAACTACAAAAGAGATGCAATAAAATGATGTAAGAATTGATTTAAAAAAGGAAAGTTGAAATTTAACGATTTCTTTGATCACTTCCGTAAGCGACCGGAAGTGCCGACGACAGACGAAAAGGTGCCCTCTCCAATCTAAAAGTCAAGTTCTATCATCTCTAACAAGTCTCCAGTTAATATCTTAAGCCATTCTCGAGAACACTCAAGGACAAAATTGCATTTTAAAATCAGAAAATTGTCCATAACTTGGCACTGGAACCGAGTTTACCAAAAAACGGAATTTTATATAAAATTCATATAAAGACCTTTTATCCCTGAAAATTTCAAGGAAATTCATTGAATAGTTTTCGAGAAATTGCGTGCACAAAATTTTGTCTAAAAAAAAGAATAATAATAATAATAATAATAACTAGATGAGATCTCGTTGCGAGCAACGAGTAGGTCTTCCGTTAGATTTCTGATAAGATCTTGACTGAGAAATTTTGATTGATAAAAGAAAGTAAAAAATCTTTAAATGAAAAAAAAATATTCATGTCAATACTTCAAAATATGTTTAGCAACACATTAAAGACTGAAATCTATCAATTTCAAACAACTTCCGGTCTTTTTTTCACTTCCGGTATGACCGGAATACTCAAAATGACTTTTAACTCTTCACTGAGCGTTTCTCAATTCTACGAGTCACAATCTATAATCCCTGAAAGTTTCAAGATTCAGTCTCAAACCGTTTTTGAGAACACTCGCGGACAAAATGCCACTTTAAAAATGGAAAATTGGCCGTATCTCGCGACCGGAAGTGACGACGGCAAAATAAAAAAAAACGCATAAAGTTCCGATAATTTGCCATCATTGCTGAAAGTTTCGTGAAAATCTATCGAGGCGTTCTCGAGAAATCGTCTGCACAAAATCGGTAAAAAAAAAATAATAATAATAGTGGAAAAGAAACAACAGAATCAGTAGAAGGTCTTCCGTTGGAAACGGAAGACCTTAATAATAATAGTGGAAAAGAAACAACAGAATCAGTAGAAGGTCTTCCGTTGGAAACGGAAGACCTTAATAATAATAGTGGAAAGAAACAACAGAATCAGTAGAAGGTCTTCCGTTGGAAACGGAAGACCTTAATAAGAAACAATAGAATCACTATAAGGTCTTCCGTGGAGACGGAAGACCTTAATAAGAAGAAACAATAGAATCACTATAAGGTCTTCCGTGGAGACGGAAGACCTTAATAAAATTCAGTTTTCCTTGTTTATAAACTTCTTTATAAAAATATGTCTAAATCAGCCTTATTTTAAGATTGTACAGCTAAAAGTTATATTTATTGATCCAGAAATTAATAAAATGGATTATTGGTTTATCGTGGTGTTATTGGATTATTTTATCCTCTTAGCATGCCAAGAAAAGGTACGCATTCTAGTTTTAGAGCGAACTCAATAAAAGCGGAATTAGCGTTAATCTGTGATTTTTCCCCAGGGAGATGTGTGCGAGGCAATTAATGTCAGCAGTTTTGAGGGAAGGATCTTAAGTTTTACTGGTTTGAAATTAAAGCTAGAATACTTACTATTTAGAAGCCTTTGCACCTTTTTTCCTGTTTTTTTTTTTTTTAAAGGGGGGGGGGCGATTTTCCATGCAAATCATATGCGGTTAAAAAAGTTAAAAAAAAAAAAAAAAAAAAAAAAAAAAAAAAAAAAAAAAAGGAAAAAGAAAGTGAAATAAATTGTAGTGAACTAATTAATTGTTCAGTAAAAATTAGACGCCTTTCAAATTTTTCAGTGTTTATATATCAAAATATTTTTTCCTAGTATAAATTAACATCGGGCACGATGAACTTGGTTGTTGTGGAAGTCTCGCGCCTTATTAAGGTATCATAGCGGTAATTGACCAATGAAAATGAACTTATTCAATTGTAGTTCCATACATATAAAATTATTATTTTTTCCTTTTGAATTTTTTTTTTAATTTCCTTCCAGTCTATTTTTACAATTTTGGTACCTGTGTCTAGTGCATTTTACATATTTTGTAAATAAATAAAGGTTTTTGACAGGAACTATTTTTTTCAGGGCATAGGAGGCTACTTCCTGGGGTAGAAGTTCATTTTTCTTTGAATAAGAAAACGGAAAACTTAGGATCCACCCCCTCAAATCTGCTGCCGTTAATTGTCTCGCCAGCGTTAGGGGAATATGGGTGATTTGCATCAATTACACTTTTATTGACTCCATCGCTGTGGAAAAATGGACGAGATTTCATGGCATGGTCAGAAAAATTGTGTAGATACATGTATAAGATCATTGGCCTTGTCATGATTTGCTCTTTTAAGGAGCGTTTTTTTTTTCTAAATTTTTAAATAATTTGTGCATAAATAATTTTAGAGAGTGTTACTTTTGTCTATTGATTATGGTGTTCTGCAGGTTTCATGCATTTCACTCGACCCAGTAAATCAACATTAAGTCATTTTCTGTCTAAATATATTATTTCAAATGAATTTGATGCATTGGAAATGAAATTCAAACAAACAAAAGCACGGAAAAGGGGGGGGGGGTGTCTTTTACCGGCACCTGATCCAACCCGGTCTGGAATTTCCGGAGGTCCGTGTTTTAATTATGCCCTGTTTACAGATTTATTACTTTTAATGGGTTTTTTGAGATTGATCACTCTTCTAATCTTCATCTTTTCATTAATCTAACACTTTAAAAAGATGAAATTTCTTTGGATATATGTATATTTCTTATACAACTTTATAATAAACTAAGTACAGACCTAGAAACATTACGTTAACTAAAACAAGATGTATAAACAGCAACAAAATAATTTATACTGTGGGGAAAATTGTTTAAATGTAGAGAGGATAACTATCCAAATGAACACAAATTGCAAAAGTATTCTAACTTAAATTACCTAACACTGTCAAAAGAAAATATTATAGATCTGCGATACCACAATTAACACTCATTTGCTGAAAAGAGAGAGAGAGAGAGAGCTTTCTATCCTAAATTTCTCGATCAGAATATTTGTCTGTATTTAATATAAATCCTTAATGTATAAAATAACTTCTTTTATTCCTTATAGAACTGGATAAAATCTAACATGGGCGTGGTGATTGGTGCATCTGCGGGTGCGTTTGTTCTACTGATAGTCGTGGTCCTAATCATTCGGAGAGTCAGGTTTGTGCCAACTTTCCTATTTACACACACCTGTATAAGTGTACTTTAGCCTGTAGATCCTGTAGTTAACAGCCCTCGCCTGCATGATAAGATAATCATATTTTACAAAAACTATTATGTAATTACTTAATCAATTATGTAATTACCTAATCAATTATGTAATTACTTAATCAAACACCCTATCAGTTGTATGGGGGGAAAAACCCAGAACAATATAATTTTATGCCCTCATATTTTATTGAAAAAAAAAACAACGTCATTTTAACTGGATGCTGTAAAAGGGATTTAAAGGAAGAAATGCTATGAAAAGAATACTCCTTAAATCTTTGAGATATTTTTTAGCCTTTTTCAAGGAGAATATCTTACTTAACTATTATTTATCTAGCTTAAGAACAAGAAACAAAGCTTTCCACCAGTACATGTAGCACTGCTTTAATTATCCGCATTTTGTCTTGCTTTGTTTCCTAAAATGTTCACTGAATGGAGAAGGCAAAATTATAAAACCGTGAAAAAATGATTTTGTTGATGTTTCTTTGTATGTTGCAGAGTGTCAGTTAAAGTATACCCTAAACTCATTTAGGCATTATTTATTGTTGATTCCAGTATATTGTATTGGCAATATAATACTTAAACATACTACTGTGGGTTTTTATATTTCTTTATCATGTTTATCAATTTTGTTAATTCCAAGTTTAGATATATATGTTATCAATGATTTGTGATTTTATCACCTCCTCTTCCAGGCAAAGAATAGTTTTCAAACAAGCAGCAGGTCAATAAATAATATATGACCGTTTCTCTCTTCCAGAAAGCCTGGCAAAGATGCCGTGCTATGGGACGATAGTATCGGACCTACGTTTACTAAACTTGATCAGTCCGAGGAATATGCGCTTTCTGCTACCAATCCTACCTACACTTACACGGGTGGAAAGCTTGAAATAGACAATTCTTAACATCAGTAGTGTGTAGGACCCATCACTCCCTTAAGACTTTACATCATATGCATGCACTTTAAATGAATTGTATATAGAAAAATGTTTCGTGTGTGATATACTTGGACGTTATGACTGAATTGTGTATGTCATTTAGAAAACTCATCAGCTTCTTTTGTTTTTCAATAACATGTAAAATCATTTTATTGCGGCACGAAATGTTTATATCATAATATTTGATTATATAAAAGCTTTTTAACGAAAAACGTAAATGCTTTTAGAATATCATGGCGAATTCATCAGCTGTTGTATATTTCGATTTTCAGATTTTTCGTTTGTTAAATGAAATTCATGTACATGTAGTTATAATATCCTTGGGGATTTGCAATTTTTTTTTTCACTTCAAACATGTGCACAGTCTATATCATTCCGTTTTAAAAAGAAAAACAGTGTTTATGTTTTATAGGGCAAATATTTATTGTTATTTCCATTTAATTTTTATGCCCCCGGATCGAAAGATCCCGGGGGTATGTTGTTTTTGTCCTGTCTGTCTGTTTGTCTGTTTATCTGTTTGTTTGTCTGTTTGTCCGTTTGTCTGTCTGTCTGTTGTCAACTTTAACCTTGCCCATAACTTTTGATTGGTTGGAGCTATGACTTTCATATTTCACATGTGTATTCCTTGTGACAAGACCTTTCTTTGGGTACCATCATATTTGACCTTTTGACCTTGACCTTGGAGTTTGACCTACTTTTGCAAAATTTTATGAGACTTTAACCTTGGCCATAACTTCTGAACATTTGGAGCTTGGGGCTTCAAACTTCACATGTGTATTCTTTGTGACAAGGCCTTCTTTTGGATACCAACAACTTTGACCTTTTGACCTTGACCTTGGACTTTGACCTACTTTTGAAAAACTTTAACCTTGGCCATAACTTTTGAACAGTTGGTGCTTAGGGTTTCAAACTTCACATGTGTATTCCTTGTGACAAGACCTTCCTCTGGATATCAACCACTTTGACCCTTTTGACCTTGACCTAGGAGTTTGACCTACTTTTGAAAAATTTTAACCTTGGCCATAACTTTTGAATGGTTGGAGCTAGGGCTTTCATACTTCACATATGTAATCCTTGTGACAAGACCTTCCTTTGAATACCAACGACGACTTTGACCTTTTGACCTTGACCTAGGAGTTTGACCTACTTTTGAAAAACTTTAACCTTGGCCATAACTTTTGAATGGTTGATGCTAGGGCTTTCATACTTCACATATGTAATCCTTGTGACAAGACCTTCCTTTGGATACCAACCACTTTGACCCTTTGACCTTGACCTAGGAGTTTGACCTACTTTTGAAAAACTTTAACCTTGGCCATAACTTTTGAATGGTTGGAGCTAGGGCTTTCATACTTCACATATGTAATCCTTGTGACAAGATCTTCCTTTGGATACCAACCACTTTGACCTTGACCTTGACGTTTGACTTTTATTTAAAAAACTTTAACCTTCACCATAACTTTTGACCAGTTGTATCTAGGTCTTTCAAATTTCACAGGTGTTTTCCTCGAGACAAGATCTTTCTTTGGGTATCAACATTTTTTATCTTTTGGCCTGGATTTTGACTTGCATTTGAGAAACTTTAACCTTCGACATAAGCTGCCATACGGGGGCATCAGTGTTTCACAAACACATCTTGTTAATAATAAAAATAAATGAAACAAAAATATTTATTAGGTGTCATGTTTTGTAAAATGACTATTGAGCATTCCTATCATTTGCTCATTGCTTTAGGGCACTGACACGTATATAGGTCTCATCTACGACAATTATTATCGTTTAATAATAAAAAAAATTTTAACATATAAAATACATCAGGTGAATGTACCTCGGTGGTGAAATAAGCATTAAATGAGGTATTTACCTTACACATTTTTATTGTATATATTTTAGATTCTCCCTATAAATTGTGCATGTGGGGAGGAGAAGAGCTCCCGTTTCACCATTAGATTGGGTGGGGTGGGTTCAGGTTCCCCACCTATAATTAGAACTTATCTCTCAACTGAAGTCTACTTTGATGAAAAAGACATATGTAGACATGCATGAACATATACATGTTACTGAAGCACATATTATATACACAGAAATTATTTGAAATTTCCTATAGACAGTAGCAGGCCCGTAGAACGTGGAGGGTGGGGGTTAAGGTTTAGTAAATTTTCCTTTAGATGCTGGTTGCCCCCCCCCCCCATATTTTGTAAGATTGAGCACAGGCAAAGTCGAGGATTTGGACAGAAAATTAGCTTTTTTATTGCTTGACAGATTTTTGAGGGAAAGTCCTCCCCCCCCCCCTTCCCCACACACACACTTTTGAAACCGTTGCCACGGGCCTGCAGTAGTAATACTAAGGTTTAAATCAAAGAATGTCCATTGCTGCATGTTATATATATATATATTTTTTAAAAATGATTTGTACGTATCAGGTTTGCTTATGGGAAGAAGAATCGGTGATTTTAAGATAGTTTGTAAGACACAGATGAATTTCTAAGCATTTTATCATGGACTGTGATATGATTCTATATTAGTCTGCATGATTATATAATTATAACATCTTGTATGAAATATTCCTTCAAATTAAAAATCTAAAAATTAACTATAAAAATAATAATAATAAAACGTTTCTACAATTTTCTACATATCAAGACTTTAGGATTTGAAATCTTACCCCTTCAGCCCAAATACTTACCAAGTATTTAGTACAAGGTATACTAAATAATTTGGGACGCTATGGCAACATTCCTCTGTAGTCGAGTTGATGGGCAACTGCATGGCTTAAAAATCCACACTTAAAAAAAATCGCCATCTCAGAGATATATGTAGGTATAGATCTGCTGTGTCGATTTTCATTTTTAATTTCATTTCAGGGTGCGTCGGACGGGTGTTGTAGAGTTTGAGGATTTGGAAACGGTATCTTCCCCGACAGGGTCACAGAAAACTGGTTTAAAAGATCGGAGTGGAACAGAATTACTACATATGAAAGCCATAAAAATTCATGACTAAACATTTTATATTTCCCGAAAGAAATGCATGTATCATATGCACGTACATGTGTATTCTCGGCTATTGACTTTTTTTTTTCATTATTAATAAAAATTCTAATGGTTTGGGATGAAGCAGTAATTGTTTCCATTTCATTTATATTAACAGACTTATCAACAAATTGAAAACGCATTTATTAAATTATTTATCTATTTTTTATTTGAAATATCAGATTATAGATCTATATAAGTTGTATCTTATTAATCCTATATGATACCGTTTATGCTTGTTTAATTGAATGGTGTACAAAACAATAAAGAAAAAACAAAATACTTCTTTAAATTCAATTTCTTGTTACATTTCTTCTTTCTCTTCCTCTCCCAAATAATAAACCTTTGATAAATGATTAAAATAGATAATAATAGGGAGAACATGAAACATTACATGTACGACTTAGTCAGATGTTATTTAGAATCATGACTTCCGGTGAAAACACGTTGTTTCCAGCTGCAGTTGCGACAATTTTTGACAGCTGGACAGTACTTCAGGTAATAACTATCCGTGCATGTAAACATATAATTATATTTGGGTTTTGAACATCTGTTATTATATAGTAATATTTTTTTCTGGCTTTTTCAAGTTAGCTGTGAACCAGGGCTTTGGTGGCGCAGAGAGCAGGGAGAAGGCAGAATGGATGATCACGGCGGTTGATCAGTGGTTTAGAGAAAACAGTAAGTGTAAAATGAAGGTTACTGCACCATAAATTTAAGAATTTCTAACCAGTTGATAACAGTGTATATGATTAAATAATATACAGAGGCAAATGGCGGATTTTTTTGAGAAAATCTACTAATGTCTTAATTTGTATGAAAACCGGCCTTATACCTTATTACCTTATGATTGCGCAGAAGATTGTTATGATATATATGAATAAATAGGCTTTATTCTCTCTTATAACAGAGGATATTGAGGTGTACGAACTAGATGATTTTCTTGCCGATGTCATGAATACAGAGTTTGATACTATTGTAGAGGATGGGAGTTTGTCACAGGTTAGGATGATGCATGATAGTAATTATGTAGAAACGCATTTAATGAAATAAATATCAAATATTTTATGAAAAGTATGTACATTTTTAATTATGATTATTAAATCCAGCAATGTCTCTTTTTACAAGTTAAAGTACTATGTCAAAGGAATTCCTTGTTACTTGCATGATGAGGAACAATGGTCCTTTTCAGATATCCACACTGATATGCAGAGTTTACAAACTATGCTGCGAGGGCAAAGAGGATGAAGTCAGAGAACAAGTACAGTGCCTTCCAAAAGCTGCTGTCCAGAACTGTTCAAGAGTGGCTGGTAACGATGAAGAGGAGGATGATAATGAAGAGGTCAGATGAGAATTATCTTGCTGACTTTTATAATTTTTAAATCTTTAACATAACATGGCAAATTTTTTCTGTAATATATTTTTTATAGGACAGCAGCGATAGACAAGGGGGAAGTAACTTATCACAAGCCAGCTGTAATGGAGGCTTAAGTAATGGAACTGATAATACTAGTACACAAGGAGGAAAAGAGGAATCAAAAGAGGGTAGGTATAGGGAGGTTAAGCAATTTTAAATTTTCACAGTTCTTGTGAAAGTATATGTTATCATCATTTATAGCTCACCTGAGCTCAAGAGAGTTTTGTCTGGCGTCCATCTGGGTGTAAATTTTTCACTTTTTTGATTTCTTGATAACTACTGGGCCAAATTAAACCAAAGTTGGCAGAAAGTTTCCTTCGGTAAAGGGGATGAATTATAAATTATTCAAATGAAGGGCCAAGTCCCTTCCAAAGGGAGATAATCAAGAAAAGGCAAAAATAGAGTGGGGTCATTAAAAAATCTTTCAAGAACCACTGGGCCAGAAAAAGTGAAACTGGTGTGAAAGCTTCCAGACATAATGTAGATTCCAATCTTCAAATCACGGCCTCACAGGGGTAGGGTGGGGCCACAATAGAGGATCAAAGTTATACATTGAAATATATACTGGTGGAAAAAAAAACCAGGAGTAGGGTTGTGTTCACAATAGGGGATCATTTTTTACTTGGGACTTTATAAAAAAAAATCTTTTTAAGAACTATGAACCACTATAGAACCATGATTGCAAACATTCCGAAGTTGGTGTGGATTCAATTTTTTTTTTGGGGGGGGGGGGGGGGGGGGACAAGTTTTGGACCCTGGGTTAGAGTTGTCTAAAATCAGGATCAAATTTTACATACTGCATGCATATGGGAAAAGAATGTTCTTCTCCATAGCTGCAAGGCCATGTTTGTCATATTGATGTTGAAGCATCCACTTGTTGCGTGGATTCAGAGACCTTTTAGTGAGGGGCCATTATATGAGGTCACAACTTTTCTTGGAAATAGAATTTTTAAAAAAAATCTTAAGAACAGCAGTACTAAAGTTACCCAGGTAAGCATTGTGGCCCATGGATGCCTTTTTTAATGTTATCACATTCAATTAGTTATATTAAATTCAAGTCAATTTATCTAGCTATCTGACTATGCAAAGTTATAAAATTTATAGAGAAAATGGAAACAGAAGAAGAGGAGGGTTGGACCACAGTGCATCGTGGGAAACGAAGATAATACAAACAGCATTATTCTACTCTGTATTATTGTAAATAGGTCAATAAATTATAAGATACACAATATTTTGTTGCCTGCGTTTTCTTGAAAAAAGTTGTTTTGCTGCATTTGTGCCCAGCTATTTTGTACACATGCCCTAGTTTTCAAGTAAATATATGTATATGGAATTTTGTAAAAGGAACACTTTGGGGGAACGATTGCTTTTCCATTGGTAGATAAAGTCTTATGCCCAGTTCATGTAACATCCATCATACTTTATAATTGTCTAGGAATTTGAATATTTAATGTTGTTCTGAAAATGTAAGAGTATGAAAGAAAATATTATTTAAATGGTATTTGAACCATTGGTGAAGAGAACTGCAGAGTGTATTCAAATCACCATTACCTGAATAAGCTAACTTATACTTTTCAGCTTGCCTCTGAATGTTTACAGTATGTATTCATTTCGTTCCTTTTCATCCCAAGGGCAAGGATACTCTTAGACCACAACTTTGATAAAATAATCTTTGTACCAAAACCTTTCCAAAGATGGACTCCAGTGCAGGGTCAACTTAATTGACATCCTTACTAAATCCTCCAAAAATGATCCATAATTTGACCAAAAAAAAAACCTATTGGTTAGTTGCACAAAAATACATCTTAAAAAGTAGATAAGATTCACAGACAAATACAGGTGCTCACTGATGTCTTTATCCCAAAAGTGAGAATTTTACCTGTATGCCTCATCCTATTTATTAATTTCATTCTTCAAGTTAGATCATTTGAAAAAAAAGGATATTCCCCTGCAGGGTTACCCTCCCTAGCCTACATGATTCCCAACACTGTGTAAATGTCAAATTATTTTTGTTTCACTTTGAAATCTGAAGAATCAGGAATCATCCTGCATGCAGTTGTTTGTTCATTAAGAGTACCTCATCAACATGAAATGCTGTCAAACAGAGCTAGGGATAAAGAGTCCCCATCAAAGCTCTGGCAATTCCATAAACAACACCAAAAAGAGCTCCTTATAAAGGTTGTTGAATGTTTTTGCATGCTTGAATTGGAGGAGAGTTCCAAAACACATCATGCACAATTTTATGGTAAAATGCATATAAGCAATCTAATTTGATATTTTTCCCATTTGGTTCAGAAATACAGTACAACTTTATTACCATTACCTCAAACACAAGTGCATACCACAAGGAAAGAACTAAACTTTACAAGTATGGCATACATGTATATGATGAGAACTATAATATTAGTTTTGATTTGTTGAAGACTTGTATTTACTTTCTGTATTTCTCTTAGCATTCTAAATGTTTTACGTTAACATGTACATCAGCAACACAAATCATCTCAGATAACACGTACATCTGTCTAGTCTATGTACAGTGCTTTCTTTGTGAACTCAAAGAAATCTTTAAACATTGCAATTTTTAATTCTTAAAAATCTTTATCTTTTCAATGTAATAATTTTGCACTGTATAAATCAACTTCGCATTAAAAATGGACATAAGTGAATGAGTGATGGGACTTGATGATGGTAATACACAAAGGTCAGGAATCTATTTCACCGCCTAGATCCAGTCTCCGAAATCTGTCCAAATTGTAAAAACAAGCTTTGACAACTCGACCACCAAAGAATCTACCATTCAGGTCAATAATTGCTGTAAAAAAAAGAGTCATAGAACAGACAGAGAAATTATAAATACAATAATAAGTTTATTGAAATTGTGTATTGTCTTTTTCAAACTAACAGAAAGTGATCATTTTTACTGACCCAATAATTTTACCCTAGAAAGCAGTTCGATAATTCAAAAATTTACAAATCAAACTCAATGAAACACTTTATACCTTTAATGGCTGAATCAACTCTTTCAAACTCAACAAAGATTCTCACAGCTTCATCATCCTCTCCATTAGGAATCTAAAAGTTAACAACAAATATTGTAGTGAAAATCTAAGTCTATATTCAGGCTACTGACATTGTTCTATACTGTATTTTGCTGATTTTTATTCTCCTGTATAGGGTTTAAAATTAACTTGATGCACATGCGTTTCTTTTTTTTTTCAATGTCCAATCATAGTTGTTTGAATTTCTGTATATTCATGTATAAAACAAGTCTCTCACTAACATATATACATAATTATTTTTTTTCAATAATTAAATGCTTAACCAAGTCCATGAACTGAACTTTAACACCAGGAGTTACCTTCCTTTTAAATAGTACAGTAAAACTTGGTTATACAGAAGTCACTGGGACCTCATGCTTCCTTATATTGTGAAGTCGTTTATTTTCTTGGGGTCAAATTTTCATGATTTGTGAAAAATTACTGGTTTGAGGGGATTTAAATTCATGGTTTAAGGAGAAACATTATATAGCAGTATGAAATCTTCACATTTTGTGGGGGATCTGAATTGGTGGGTCGCTTCATACCATGAAAACAATGAAAATTAACCCCCCATGAAAATTTGTGATTCTTTATATCTGTATAAGGAATGTAGTCTTCTTACTACAAGATTTGTAAAAAGTTCCTTATATCTGTGATTTCCTCATAAGCCAGAGCTCCAGATAATTTTTTACCTCAAAGTGTATTTACTCCCTGATTTTCCAATCAATGCAGATTTTGCTTTTCAGCAAAATAATCAAGGAGTATTTTGTTAATCTATTGCTCTTTTGACATCTTGTGTGATTTTTAGCTCTTTATCGAAATAAGTGTTTTTGAAAGAGGAATGTTAAAAAAAGGACAGTTTCAGCATTTATCAATTAGGTTAATGAAATTTAAAAAAAAAATGTCAGCTTTTATCTATAACTAAGAGACATTTCATTTCTTTCACCAGAAAGACCAGAAGTGGGCAAAGTTACCAAGGGCACACAGAACTCCATTTAAGATTAGGCCTGTATCGATCGTAGCAAGAGTTACCGAGAAAAATATCCTTCCTTTGGCCAGATAAAATTAATATTTAGATTTTCATCCCAGCCTGCCCCTCTAGAAATGTTCCACCCTGTTGCTTTTGTTCCTGTTTTTTGTTTTCTAAAATATATATTAGGTTTTGCTATATAAAATGTTGGCATCGATCGAGGTAAAAGTTCTAGAGTTACTCCCGTTTGCATTAAAAGTCGCGTAGCGCTATTTATAGCAAAGGAGCATGTGGAAAACAAAAAAGCAATAATTTTCATACAATTATTAATAAAGGTTGTAGGCGGACTTAAGATGAAATTATTGCGACAGAAAATGTTAAATATATAAGAACTATTTAATAAACAGTGACAAAGACACCATGCCTGTTTTGCGCAATTTTGACAACATCGACGTGTTTGCTTTAAGAACGAAAATTTTGATATTATATGAACAATGGAAATCTGTGATATTTTCTGACAAAATACGCGTATTTAATATTCAAATCATTCTCCCGATCTGGAAATTGGCCTAGGTTATTCCGAATACGCTTATATAAATCAAAATTTCCTTTTGATAAAAATTCAAACACTGAGCTGACCTCAATTCACATAATTAGTTAAATCGTACTTGTATCATTCAATCCGTTGTACACAGTACTTTCGTAGAGTAATGCTTATTTATGATTGCCAATGCATAATTATATGCCCTGTTTTAATTTTTAATGCATATTTTGAAAAATTCAATGCATATTTCTGCAAATACGCACCTTATTTGGAGCGTCTAGTTTTCCTATAAACCAAGGTTTACTGTATTTTATTTTTGAATACTGCAAGAATCAGTACATACTTCAAATATGACACACTTGATGACCTTCCCATATTTAGAGCATTCCTCTGCCGTCTCTGGCTCTAGTTCTTTATCAACCTCTCCCGGTCCTACCATGTTCTACAAGACATCACAAATCTTTGTTAAAATAGGCCTTCTTTTCTATTTACTACAATGTACTCATCACAAAAGGGCAGGGAATACACAGTTTAGTTTTTCTTTTCATTTTGCATTATTTTGAATTGACATGCACGTATATTGTAATTAGAGTTTAATAATTCTTCATCAGAACTGATTTGATTTTCCAAACTCACCCTCAATAAGACCACTTTTGAAGGATTTTTCATTAAATTTGTGTTTGAAGAAGGCTCTCTTGAAGGTGGCTCAACTACAACCAATCAAGTAAAGATTACCCACACCGACTATAATGAATGTTTATATATATATATATATATATATATATATATATATATATATATATATATATATATATATATATATAAATATATAAATATATATATATATATATATATATATATATATATATATATATATATATATATATATATATATATATATATATATACATACAAAGATTGTATAATATGGGCAAACATTTCTGTCTGTGACAATATTTTACATACATGGAAAGTAAAAATGCTTGTGTCTCTATAAATTTCTTAAATCAATACACCAAGTAAGATATCTACAGAATGAAGGTTTTTGATAGGGACTGTATGTTTATTGATGTCTACGGGTTTCTTTTAGATGGTTAGTGCACACAGTTATAGAGTATCTGTATGTATTTGAGATGAACTACAGAATGTAACACTTATGTTTGGGTAGGTTTTGAGATAGACCAATGTCTCCGACTCATGTCTGAGAATGTAGTTTTCTGAGATGGACACAATGAAATTTGAACTCATCAGATTTCCAAATGGACACCATGATCACTTATTTTCAGTGGATTATTGTGATTGATATACTGAACACTTTCTTTCTGTAGATTTTTCTTACAGTGTCTTTGCTTACTTTTGGGTAGATCTTTCTTATAATGTCTTTGCTTACTTTTGGGTAGATCTTTATTACAGGGTATGACTTACTTTTGGGTAGATCTTTATTGCAGTGTATGACTTACTTTTGGGTGGATCTTTAATACAGTGTATGACTTACTTTTGGGTGTATCTTTATTACAGGGTATGACTTACTTTTGGGTGGATCTTTATTACAGGGTATGACTTACTTTTGGGTAGATCTTTAATACAGTGTATGACTTACTTTTGGGTGGATCTTTATTACAGGGTTTGACTTACTTTTGGGTAGATCTTTATTACAGTGTATGACTTACTTTTGGGTGGATCTTTATTACAGGGTATGACTTACTTTTGGGTTGATCTTTATTACAGGGTATGACTTACTTTTGGGTAGATCTTTATTACAGTGTATGACTTTACTTTTGTGTAGATCTTTATTACAGTGAATGACTTACTTTTGGGTAGATCTTTCTCGTGAATAATCTTTCCCCCTCTCTTGCTAGTCTTCTCCACAAACAATGCTGTACTCATTCCCTGCTCTGACTTCCCCAGACCCTGCCCCTCCTTGTATCCATACTTAGCCATGATCTTAGAGGCCACAGATCCTCTGAGATAAGAAAATACCAATTATTATAATGCTACCTCATTTCTTTTTAACAAATCTGAATATAATTATGGTATTCTTCTTTATGTTAATTCATCACTCAAATCTAAGAAACCAGTGTGCATCTTATAACACACATGAAAGCATCAGAATAAACATACCCTAAGCCTATAGTGTAGCCCATAGGTGGAGAACCAGATCTGTTTGGCATAATAGGTGAACCACCCATGTCTGTAAATTAGAACATACCGAATAAATGTATAATAGGTGAACCACCCATGTCTGTAAATTAGAACATACCGAATAAATGTATATCAATGGTAACTTCTATATCTGTGTATAATGGATCGAAATTTTACAATTCAAAGAGATACATACATGTATTCATCTCAAGTTTGTTCTCTAATTTCCTCTTCAAACTGTCTGAAGGATTTCCAATGAAACGCAATGTTTCTTTTCTTTATCCTTTTTTATTTTAACAGATAAGATATGTAGGATTTGGGGATAAACATGCATTTGCTGGAGACAATACTAACCACTGGACACCTGGTCCTCTTCAATGAGTGATGTGGGAGGGGCAATAGCTGCTCCTCCACCTGTCAAAAATAAGTAAAATAAGATAGAATGGTCATTTAACAAAATTTCTAAATAGTTTTGAATTCTTCTTTAATAAGATACTTGAAGTAATTACCATATTACTATTACATCTTGAAATTCTAGTGCTACAGCTTAGCAACCCAAACAATATTATATAAGCTGCCCAAAAATGACCACATGACATTTTAGTTTTGACTGAATTAACTTTTTTTTCTGACCTGGTTTCATAGGTTTCTCATAGTCGTCCTCCTCCTCCTCATCTCGTCTTCGCTGAGCCCGCTCCATCTCCCCACCTCCCCTCCTGTTGTAATCATCTCTGTCTCTATCTCTATCACGATCCCTATCTCTGTCTCTATCTCTTCGTCTCCTAAAATACATCAGTACAGAGCCACATACTTTAAACTACTTCTATTCTTGACAAATCTTTGGGGGATGAAATGCAATTTTATAAATGCTTTAGAAGATTTTATTATTAAGTGATTTTAACTTTATTTGAAACTTCCTACTAGAAATAAAAACACCTCATCTGTTTTACTGAAGGTAATGCATATTAAAACAACTCTCCTATATTTCTGGATTTCCCCCTTTTTTTCTTGATCCGACTACCCCTTTTTCCCCATCATCTACCCTCCTATTCTTTATAAAACACTGTTTTACCTGGAGTGTCGGTCCTCATCATTGTCCCTCTTTCTCATGTCCTCCTCTCTCTCTTTCATTCGCTGTTCTTTCCTCTTTTTGACAAAGTCCTCATAATCATTAGGTCTGAGGGGGTCATACTCATCTGTTACTCCTGTCAGGGAGGGAACTGGTTCTGAAGGTATGAAGGGGGAGCTACCGAGATTGGCTGATATTCTAGGACTTCTCTCAATCTTTCATACAAAAACAAGAACAATTTCATCTGTGGTTCAATAAAAGAAAAAGAATGAACATTTAAAAGAGGATTCCTGTTATTTTGAATTTTCTTTTTTCGGAAAGTTGAAGATATCAGTTTTAAAATTTTTCAAATTTGATGTTATCATTTTTAATTTCTTTTCAAAAAACAGTTATATATAACATTTTCTTCTCTGCAAGATTATAGTTTGAACTTCAACTCTATGTCTTGTTTTACTGTCTCTTCCCTACCCTGCCAGTGATCTGGTTGAAATAGAGCTCTGAATCGTTGGATTTCTTGAGGTCCATCACGGGGGCCAGCGTGGCTCCTCCATGTCTGCTCTTCTGTAAAACCATCAAACAGCAAAATACTACTATATACTATGCATATTTATAAGATACACACTAGTAAATAAACATAACAGGGGCAAAACTCATGAAATTTTGCATTTATAATTTATCTTACTCGACTTTGTGAGGAGGATGCTTTCTTGGCCTGTAGTTGTGACTGCAGAAGTTTGTAATTAGATGACCATCCAGCTGAAAGTTAGACATGATTAATCAACATCATAAAATCAAACATAAAGCATCTGCTTCAAACTTATAGGCAGCAAATATATATGTATGATAAATTATGTTATCTAATGTCAGTCTGTTGTTAGTGTGGGCAACCTTTAACTTTCCAATTTTTCAAAAGCATTGTGTAGATCGAGTTTGATCTCCATAAGAATTGTCTATAAAAGTTTTTAATGAGTATCAATTAACATTTAGTTGATTTAGATGTGTATATAAAAAGTTTTTAAAATGGTAATTACTTTGATGATACTATCTGCACTTGTCCCATTGATCACAGTGCATATACTGTATTCACAAAAACAGGTCTGAAGTTTAATGAAATAGTATACTAATTTTCACATTTTTTTTCACTTTGCTTAAGACCATTGACCATCAAATACGTCCCATTCTCATTTCTGCTTTGCTCAAGCTTTTTTCTAATATTATTACACGTTTTACATACCTACAACAGGCTTTGTACTTCCACCCTCTTCTTTGTCAATGTCTAAACCATCATACAGCGACATTTTCTGAAACAAAATAGAACACACAAATGTAACAAACCCTACATCATATGACCAAATAACAACCAACTCAGGCGACATACAAACAAAATTATATACGTGGGTTCAACAAAAATACATACTAAAATTACAATGACAGCAAAATTTGATAAATGTCCCTCAGAATCAAGAGTGAAGAAAATTTAGAGAGAATCGTGTTGTTTGTAATGACACACAGACCGGTGCATCGAAACGCCGAAATGTCGGGTTTCTGCCGAAATGTAACTAGAATGCGCCGAAATGACTGATGAAATTCTGCAATGACTGTGGATATCAATTGATACGGATACTAATACCTCAAAAACATAAACTTTTTGAGGTCAATCTTTACCCCTAAGGTTTTAGAGCCCATTTTATCGTAAATATTGGAGGAAGTCAGCCGCCATTGACGGGTTTCATAGTATACCGTATACCACGCCCGATTGTGTGTGTTTTTTTTTCTTCGATATGTTATAAATGTTTCATTCATTATACAATTATTATTATTTGTGAGAAAAAACATTTAATTAATTATCAATTATAAATTATTGTGAATATCAATCGATTATTATTGATATATAATTGATAAATTTACATCGCAAACGATGTTTGGAAACTGGGGAATTTGTTTGTTGTTTGTTTGGTTTTTTATTCATTTATTTATTTATTTTTGTATTAATGAAATAAATTTCGAAAAGGATAGGATGCAAGTTATTTCAACTTAAAAATCCTTTCCTCATTATACAAACAGTGTATAAAATATGATTGTCATAACAAATAAATTGAGACAATTTACAGTTATATCATACATGCAATATATATTAATTTGAACAAGAAGATTGCATGTTTATCAACTTCATGCAGGTGGATCAAGTACTTATTGATTTTTTTGAGAATTTGGAAATTTATCACCGTTTCAATCACCTTTAATAATAAAATAAAATTATCTCTCATATGGTGTGTACATTAATTTGTTAGACACAACTTGTGCAATAAATTATTCATCTTTCATGCTGGTAGCAATTGAACTGTTAAAGTTCGGTTGAATCAAATTAGTCTAAACATCTAGTTATGAGATCGTGATGTGACATTGTAAATACATGTTGAATTTTTTTTCACGTTTCTGATTCTCATTTCTGTCTTCACCCCCCCCCCCCCAAAAAAAAAAAAAAACGAATCATAATCAAGGAAAGTTTCGGAAACCAATTATGTAGATATATGTAAATTGATTCACGATACAGATTGTGTAACCATTTGGAGTGTGTGTATAGCGCACGTGCAAAACTTCACAGTTTGTCATGTACCTAATTATGTAATACCACATAATATTACGCACTTGTCGGATATAGATGAAGATCGATAATTTAGTTTCATTGAGATTTGCAGTCTGTGTAAACACAGTAAACATAAATTCAGACATCCATATCATTTCAGACAAATTTTAACAGTCTTCATACTCGTATAAGATACTGTAACATTTGTGAACTTGGTCTTTTGCCATTTTTCATCATATATGTATATAACGGGAATATTTGGAACTTTCGAGGAATTAAATTTTTTTTCTAATTAAAATAAATGAATAAAATCGGTTATTTTCAACATCTTGCGAGCTACTTTAGACCATTAAATTTTCGATGTAATAAAATGAATTAGACAAAAAACAGTTGTCTCTCTTTAAAATTTAACTTCCGTAACCGTAATTCAGGATTTTTTTTTTTTTTTTAGGTATATATACTTTTTTAAATTTTGGAAGCGAAATGCTCTATACTTTTGATTAACATCTTAAAACAACAGTTATTTTTAAATATTGTCGAGATTTTTAACTTTTACTGCTGAAAATTAACTTCCGTAACGATTAACTTCAGTAACGATATTTTTCACGAAATTTTAACTTATCGAATTCACGCGAGACTTCATGAATCAAACTTTAGTGTTCTATACTGAACATCAGAAAACAAAAATTGGTCAAAACCAGCTTTATTTAGAAAATAATAAGACTTGTTCAAGCATTAACTTCCGTAACATTCCTTGAAATCAATGTTATATTGAAATTGTTGTAAAAAGTTAACGATAGCCGATTTGTGGATATTTTTTTTAAGTTAACTGATATGTTCTTTAGAGAATTATGATATTCATTTTGCTATTTGAAACAATTATTTTTTTTTCATGTTTTATACCCTGAATTTGGTCCTCTTATCGTAGAATGACTGATAAAGATATTTCGTATACATGTACATGTCAAATATATGTAAATGTTGTTTTCTTAGTCATTTGGTCTATTTCCTTTTCTGCTAAACATATAAGGTGGTTGTATAGGAATAGCCTAAATTATTACCTTTCTCTTACCTGTAACATTTTGTATTTATTTAAATATAACTTTGTTGCATATAACCTGAAATAATAATTATACATTGATGTTAAAAAAGGACAACATTGAATATTTCAGATTTGCTGACACCTGGGCCTGGTACGATCAACTCCTATTGTTTAAATACCTTTTTGGTTCACACATACAGTGTAGTATAATTTGTATACATGTGATATACACCTGACCTAGTAATTTGAATCTGAATTCCAATTCACTGATCTTACATTGTTTAACTTACAGTATTTTTACATCTAGTAAATAAACTAATTCCTAAATTCTCATTAATTATTTTCACTTCCTTATAAGACATGTATACAATGTACTAAGTTTTACGTATCTTTTAAAAAAGATTGTGTATTTGGGAACTGAGTCTGGGCCCTGATAGGGCGTTGTGTTTGACACAATAAGAACAGTTCTCCAAATACAATCTCATCCTTAGTATTATTAGTAACTCCTATGGTTTTCTTTGGTTTTAATTAAATTTTAATGTACATATTATGTGCTATTGTTAAGTTCATTCTTTATAAAATGCTAATGACCAAATAACCTAGCTTTATGCATTTTACAAAGTTTTGGTGTTCTTTGCGTATGTATTTCATTATAGTTTTCATATTTTTTAAAGCTCTAATTCCAACTTTTCCAACTCATTTTTACAAATTTTCTTTATTTTTCTCATTCATTTCTAAAAAGATTAAATGTTTAAGTGGAAAATAACAATATTTTTATTTTCCCCCATATGATATCCAAAATATGTTTGTTTGGCTTTTCTTTAGAGGTTAATTTTCCATTTTCTTTCATTCTTTTTTTTTTAAATATCTGTTTTTCAAATTCAAAATTATGGCTCTTATTTGGGGAGTCAAAATTTTTTAATAAGAAACTTATGTTATAATTTTTTCTATTATTATTAGTTTTAATACTTAATTATATCAGGGACCTATATACTAATATATAGGTCCCTGATTATATGTTTTTTTTTCTTAGCTAATATTCTAATATTCATATTATCCTGATGATCAACATCCTCATTATTATTATTATTTTTTAAATAAGGTATATAATATATCATTTAAATTTTAAATATTTATTTAAATATCAATTTAAATAAAAACGTAATACGAGACTGACATATTACAAAGCGGATTAAAAAAAAAAACAATCGGGCGTGGTATACGGTATACTATGAAGCCCGTCAATGGCGGCTGACTTCCTTCAATATTTACGATAAAATGGGCTCTAAAACCTTAGGGGTAAAGATTGACCTCAAAAAGTTTATGTTTTTGAGGTATTAGTATCCGTATCAATTGATATCCACAGTCATTGCAGAATTTCATCAGTCATTTCGGCGCATTCTACTTACATTTCGGCAGAAACCCGACATTTCGGCGTTTCGTGTCACCCCACACAGACAGACGAATGAATAGATAACTCGTTCATAAAAAGCAAACTCTTTAAAAAAAAAAATAAACAAACAAAGATGACACGGATATACTGTGAAAAACAAAACCTGATATGATGTTTTTAAAATGGTGACGGGTTATTTGCATTGAATATACTTATATAGTCATATATGATTCTCAATCGGAAATATGTTACAACGGTACGGTTTTCTCACTTACAGCCCACCTCACTATTTCCTGCTAGAATTTTCTATAATGATTTTGTCACATGAGTGTATCAACCAAAAAAGCTGAAAGAAGAGGTAAAGAGCAACTGGTTTAGAAAATTGATGAAGCCTTAACATTTGTCATCTATTTACTGGAGTCATAAGCAAGCACATTATGGTTGTATTATGGTTGAATACTGAATAATGAACATTGCACATGATAATGTATTGCATGTTGAACAGTTGTTAATTACCAGGTTGGGACCGCCCAGGTAGGATATAGTAGCCTGTTTGAGATATGATTTTCCAAATGGGATATAAATTTACTGTGCAGAGAAAGAAGAAAGTTTATTTATAGCTAATATGTTTTACGGTGCCACTGTTGAAGCGAGCGCAGTTGAATACCATAAAAAAAAACTTTACATAGCTTACACACTTTAATCTTTGATCTGCCTCTTCAAAGTTTAAACCGCACGAGACAGTCTAGATTGTGACATCACATGACGTATGTAAATTGCATTTCTGTAACTGAGTTCAAATAGGCTTTTTGCAATTTTGATGCGAAAGGCCCTGTAGAGTAGATGCAATTATTTTTATGTTTTGATTAATTTAAGCTCTCTGAACTAAATTTTGATACATGATAAAGGGGGACTGTTTATTCACCATTTTGCATGGAATCCTGATAGTGAAGGAATTCTATGAGGGTTGCACAGAAAATTTGCTCAATGAATGTACAGATTTTTAATTTGATTTTTCTCTGTTTTTACATGTTAGTCTATTGAGATTGAGCTCCACTTGCTGCGCTCAATATAACTTATGTAAATCCACATAAAAATGCTTTTAAAAACATCTTAACTTTAATAGTGTGTTTTAAGGTGTGACAGGGTGAGCACACTGGATACCATCATAAATCTTTACATTTAACTTTAATCTGCTTTCTTCAAACAAGAGACCCCAGGAACATAGCTACGACACTGATGATGCATAGGCACATATTACAGCAAAGGGCTGCTTAAGGCCCCCAGCAGTTCAAGGGTAGTGCCCTCAGCCCCTGGTAGGGAGTTCAAGGGGTTGAAGCCCCCTGACAGAAAATGGACTTCACAGTTTTGAGACCCCTGGGTGACAAATTCTACACATATGAAATACAAGATTCTGAGTCTCTTTAAAATGAAATTTCAAAAGCAGAAAAGCTTTTTAAAAAATCGCATTCAAACCTTTTCACCAGAGGGATTTAGTAAGGAGAGTTCTCATATTTTTTCAGCATAATCAAATTTAGAACAGTGAGAAATTTATTTAAAAAGTATTCAAAAGTTTAGAACATGATGAAGTTTATTCAAGAAGTATTCAAAAAGTTAGAGCTTGAAGTAATTTATTCAAAAAATATTCAAAATAATCATACACACATCAATGTTTTACAACAGTTACTGTTACAAATAATAAACATATTTTGTTAGCTTCAAGGTAGTTTTATATCTATTGAATTAGTTGCATGTACATGTAGAAATTTTAAAGACATTTATAATTAAGGAGTCCTACAGTGAAACAGCTGATTAACTAAATTATAGTTCATTTAGTACACTAGTATTTTAACCTTGATTTAATTAATTATGCCTGTAATACTTTTTGACAATTGTGATTTCAGATGGTACCTGTACACACCTTGTTTTATCCTCTTTTGGCCTTTGTGACCACAATCACAGCAGCTTCTTTTTACTTTTTTATGATAAAACCAGAGCTCATTGTGCAGTATTACTTAAGGTTAGTACATTGATCCTATTTCAAGATTTTTGTGGATTCCCCCCCCCCCCCCTCTTTTTTCTGGCATATTATGATTGGCATGGTCATGTAGATGTGCTATTAGGTTTTGAAATTCAATTTTGGTCTTCTGGTGTATGTTTGAAGTCAAAATGACTTATTAATTTTTGATTTCAGAATGACAGTTTTATGGAGTGGTATGAGGATTAAGTATATTAATGTAAATGGGAGAAAAGTGTGCTATGGAGAGAAGGGATACAAACAGAAAGGCAGATCTAGCATTGTACTTCTACACGGGTTCTCAGCTGACAAATCAATGTGGGCACCTCTTGTTAAGGTTAACATCCTCATAAGTCTTCATCATCAACTGCTGAATTATTCATTTACTATTTGAATCAGTATTAAACATGTATATTAAGGATGATTTTTGCAGATCTTAAAAGAGATCATATAAATTTATCTCAGTACTCAGAGTATGAATTTTTTTCTTTGACAGAATCTCCCTAGTGATCTCCATGTGCTTGCTTTAGATCTCCCTGGAAATGGAGAAAGTGAGGCCCCCATGGAGGGCACTGACTTGTCACTGAAGGGACTTGTCAGAACTGTACACCAGGTACACTGCAGAGAGTTCTGGAGAAACTTTCATTCAGTTCTTATTTTAGTTAAATATGATAAGAATGTATATAGTGAAGATTGATTTTAATGTTCAATTTATATATTTATTTCGAAGACAAAAGGTTTATTAAACAGTATTCATGAATTAATGCACAGTTGTTTAAATGTGCAGTCAAGCCTCACTTATCCAGACACTGAGCAAAGAACTGGGTATGTTAAGTCTGATAATCAGCTGTGTAAAATCCTTCATCAAATTTAGAAACAGGGCCCATAAGTGGGCTTAACATTCCCAGTTCTTGTCTTGATTTGTGAAGCATAAGGAGTACTGAAACTTACTTGGTATATCTAAATATAAATTGTTCCCGACCCCGCAAATTTTGTCCAGAAGTTGAAGTGTCCAAATTATCAGCGTCAAGATTAATGAGACTCCACTACATCTTGAAAGTTATCAAAGAGTTATGCTGTGAAATGATTATAGTGATGTAACAAATGCTTTGATTTTCACATTTATTGTACATTTAAGTGTCTACTTCTGTGATGTTACAGATAATAGAGATTTTAGGGATGTCGGAGGATCCTATACACATAGTGGGTCTGTCCATGGGAGGAGCTGTAGCGGGCCTGTATGCTGCAGAGTATCCACACATTGTGGACAGGGTGACCATGATGTGTCCTGCTAGTAAGATTGCTAACTAAGTTGTAGTGAAAGAAATTTAAAAGAACTATATCAATAAAATTCTATATTGGACACATACAAATACTGTAAAACATATTTTTGAGAACTTTATTTTTGCGCAATTACATTATATGAGACCACCTGTTTACGAAATTTCAAGCTAGTGTATATTTAAATAATTAAAGATTATATATACAAAAATAACCAAAATCTGTGCAAAAAATTTTTTGCTTTTAAATACTAAATAACTATTT